TCTAGATAAGCATTACAACTTTACAAATCTAATATAAAAAATATTTAACTTTCAATAAAACTAACAAAGCTGATTAACAAAACCCATATTTGTATACTCGACCTTTCGTCACATATTTTCGTTAAGAACTTTGAAACTACTCAGCTACCTACATTAACATGGATTATATAGTGCTTTAATCTGTTCTACTTTTTTAAAACACTGAATTTACCAGTCACTGAAGGATCCGGTTAAAAGCTTTCTATTGAATGGTGATTAAACTTTGTCAACCTATTCTACTGTAATAAATTTAAGATTATATGATGAAGCATCTCAAATAGTTGGTTTAAATTAGACTTTTATTACATTATTCCGATTACCCATCGGATAGTTTATAAATTTGTACAATCCTGTAGATATAAAACAATAAAGCTTTTACTATTTAAACTAGCATTCAAATTCAAGTTCCATTATATCTAGACTTACATGACAGATAATCAAGCTTCCTCAACCAATGCTATTTTACATCAACATTAACTGGTTTACTTACATTTGTAACTACATAATTAAACTACAATAAGAATATGATTAAGTTAAAGATAATTCGTCTATTTATTTACCAAAAAATATAATTCAGTGTTTCTATTAAAAATCATTTTGGATTGTGAACAGATTCTGTCAACGTTAATGGTATTTTTGATTTACTAATTTATTTTACTATAATCATTATTTAATAACTGAATTCATGAGTAAATTGAAGCTAAACCACCATCAACAACCTGGAAGCACTGAACGGACGTTTCATCTTAACGTGAAACTCCTCAGCAATGTGCATCCACAATCCCGCTTAGAGAGATTCGAAGCCAGAACCTATCAGTCTTGTGCGCAAACACTTAACCTGTAGACCACCGAGTCGGCATCCAACAGTGTTATTGTCTAACTTCAACTAATCCACGGAATTGCGCTACTATCTTGCAACAGACTCGGTTGAACACTGCTGAGGAGTCCCATTCAGTGCTTCCAGGTTTCTAATTTCAATCGACTCATGAATTTAATTATTAAATTACCACAATCTCCACAAAACCTCTCTCTGATTGTAATTATCATATTAATTGACTTTTGAATTTTAATTTTAATGAAACAAATCTATGTCATTAATATGTTTCATTTGTTTTTGTTATTTTTTCCATGGAATCTAAAAACAATTTTTTATAGTGAAATTTATCATTTCAATAAATATTTGAAGTTTGAATCAAACATGAAAACACAATTTTTTTTTAAAAATTATTATTTTAAACAATAATGTGAATCAAGCAATTGCATGTGTATAAATATCAATTTAGTAAACAAACTAAAAAGAAAAACAATGTCAAATAATGCACTTTCAACATTCAATTAAATCTAGTCAAAAAAAGAGAAAAAATCACTTTATTATCTGCCATTCACTAACTTATAAAGTATATTAATTCAATAGTATCATAGAACTATTATATTTTTATGATATGAAAACAATCATATAATGTAGTTTAATGAAAGTGAATGTAGAACATTTTAAATTATGTAAAGTAATATCGACTAATAATAGGAATACTGTTGGAATCTATTACTGTACTAATACGATACATACATTTATATTGTATAATTGTTAAGTGATGACTAAACTATGCATATTCGAGTTCCTCTTATTATAAGCTTTATTTTGACTTATGAACTATTATTATACGATTTACTATTCTTGAGTTATGTCCAGTCTATCACTTACTATCTCCCACATTCACAGCCACTTTTGTCTAGATCTTGTACAAATGTTATTTTCTATTTTATGGTCTGTTTGGTTTGGATATAAACCCAGTATGTTTGAAATAAATGATTCATATCGCGAAGGCTGAGATTGTTGTTCTGGACTTGACAAGCAGGGATAGGAAGGAAGAAGGACCGATGAAGACTATAGACAGCTCTTATGGGGTTTACGTATCATTGGTCCGGTCGATAAATCACTGTCCTCTAATCAAGTTCAAAATATGAATTTGTTAGACAGACGATACATTCGTCATCATTATTAAGAACTAACCAGTAAGTACCTTCATTTTGACCATTGACGCTTATCTCGACTTGATATTCATAATGATTAAAGGATTAAATAGCAGCCTTCCACTAACCCTAACCTCAGAGAAACTGAAGAAACCGGTGCATTAGAAACCAAATCATATAGATCAGTCTCAAATACTAAAGGAATAACACAACAGCTGACAATATCAACTACGTATAAACTCTATTCAAGAGAGCGAAGAGACACTAAAGTACATCTGCAATATGGAAAAGTGATGAAAAAATATTTAATGATCGTTTGTCAAAAAACGGTGACTCGTGCAACTTCATTGGAAAATGTCTATCAAACCCATCAAAAAGAATGAAATCAAACGTGTAAATAAACAAACGGACCATCCTACCGCATATGAAGCGCATATTTGTAACTACAATAAAATTATTGAGGGTGATTAAAAGAGGCGTAAAACATAAATCATTCCAACCAATCTCATGCAAACCGAAGGATGAAACGACGAAAGAAAAACACTGAATATCATCAATAAAATAAATTGCACCAACTGTAAAAAACATCAAATCGGACAGGTTGGTCACTCTTTTCATTTTTCTCTGGTTGAACACTTCCTAGTTACCTAACACGATAATATATTTTCGCTCATATCAATACACGTAAACAATTATGGGCTTACATTTGACTTGGGAGATGCCAAAACCTTGGACAGACGGAATACAAATAAAACCAGGTAATTTTTGGAAGCGTTGCATTCAGTTCAATAAGCAATCAAAAAATATGAAGAAATCAACCCAATTTCTTAATCAGTCAGGAAAATTATCAACAACCATAAGACCCAAAATTTAGTCACAGTGGAAAACACTAAAAATATAGATTCAGACAATGATCTGACAACAACCACTCAAGATCATGGTCAACGGAACAAGCTATCAGTCATATGTTGAGACACATGAAAAGTTCACTTCTATCAGAAATTTCTATTGACAACTTTGATTATTCCACAAATCTATGGAACTTTGAGTAAACTTAAGAATTTTAAATATGTCTCTTTACTGCTATAAATAGCGATATTGATGAAAATTTATTTAGATCGTAGTTAATGAACCTTGAGATTATTTTGTGAACTTGAATGGAAAGTTATTCCTATGGTTCTGGCTAGCGATTAAACAATTCAGTAGGCATTATATATGACATTTCTGACTTCATTAGAGAATTAAAATCTCACATTATCAGAAAATATACACACCTTAAAAGATATAAATGCTTACAATTTATATTCAAGCTTCTCACCATAAATAATGATAGATATGTGATACTAAGCTACGTGTTTGATCGTTACAACTATCTGTTACACACCAATATCACTAGGAAACTATAACAGCTGGGTTTATTACATTAAAACTCAATAATACTTTACAAAACCATGATTGAAACATAAATAAAATATACTGCATTCGTCCTATTGACGTACTCAGTTTATTTACACACTTGATCATGTAACTAACGTCAAATAAACTTAAATGTTCTTAGTATTAATGAAACACTCGACATATCAACATTATACTTGAATTTATAGAGAAAAAAATCCCCCAGTAAATACGAGATAAATATAATAAATTTAAGAGAGCGCAAAAAATGAACTCTTACTTGTCCGACTGAGAAAGTACATTCTCTTAAGAATTAGAAGGTACCCGACCGTTGTTGCTACCTTGACGTGGTGGTCGGGCTTGCCTATCGTGATGAAGCAACCGAGCTATACTGGATGGAACAACCGTTAGTCAAGGTCCTACCATGTCAGACAGGTCGGTTGAAGAGCGGTAAGACTAAAAGCAACAAACCTAAGGTCCGAAGGCGAAGTCGTACTGCTGACTGTACAGAGGTATTGAATAGTAAATTAATAAAATCCATTAATACGACAGGAATAATTTAAGGGTATTCGACTGAAAGCGAGTTTAAATATAGAAAAATATGTAGTATGCAAAATATTCGCCACTCACTAGAATTCGAATCTTAGCCATGATATTAAATCTAGTTCTCAAATAGCTAGTAACACAAAACATTAGCTACATTGAAACCTAATAATACTTGTGTTGTTCGGAATTCAGTAAACAATATTTGATCGCAATATAACACTGTTGACATTCACTAAGTTCGACACAGCAATAAATCCAAACAAAGCAACTTTGAAAATACAATATTAGTTAATTCATTTCATTGCACTAGTCAGTAAAAATCTGAACTCAGTAGCAAATTGAATAACGCGATGTCATTGGAAGCGAACAATACTGGGTTCTAGTTTCGGAGCGAACATTAACTCTGGGATGCAGGTACATCCAGCTGATGAGTTCCAGGTAAGACGAAACGCGCGTCCTGTATTCCACTGCTAGCCACCATCTATCTCTACTTAAATATATTAATTAATTTTTCAAATAAGACTTGTCTAGGCATAAGCAATTAGTATATGAATGGATTTTCGTAAATAAATAAAATTGGCCAATTAGAACAAGTTTGCTTACAACAAACTGATGCGTTATTTGTCTCACAACTCACCGTAACTAGTGTTATATAAGCTACATATATTCCATCAACTGTCTTGCTCATTATCTATTCAGAATAATCTTTTCATGACTTTTTTCAGCATTTACTCATCAACAATTAATTGCGGGTAAACATATTAGTAAAGTAGTTACCGAATCACATTATCTATTCCTCTAAACCACACAAGCATTTAAAAACGGAATGTTGTTGACAGTGCAGGTTATTCCTATTGAATTGAACTAAATATGAGTAGAACGTTTGGTTTATTCTCCTGGGATGAACAACGGTAAACCCTGACATATCCAACTCACACAGTAAACTTGGAATTTAGTTAGTAAACTTGATTGATATATTGATTTATAATATTTAAATAAATATGCTAATGGAGAAACATTTCATTTATTTATTTTCTTTCTAATATTAGTGGGATATTTGGTTGTTGTCTTATACCATTCTGCTGCGATTCCTGTAAAGACGCTGATCATCGTTGTCCAGTATGCAATCGTGATTTAGGTTTATACCGTCGCTGCTAGAATCGATAATAAAGTAAAGTCAATTTTATCAGTCAATCTTCATTGACATTACTTTTTTATGCAGATGATATTATCATTCAGAAAATTTTATTCAATACATTATCTCTGGTGCTAAAGATTTCATTTCATTTCGTAACGAAGGAATTAAAGGGGGATTGAATGTTGAATTTAATCATGGTCATTAAAATTACAATAAAATTTTCATTTTCTTTGTATTTTCGTGAAACATAAAACGGTGATTAATAATATAAATTGAATGATACTTGCGGTTTCTTTCAATTGCCTTTTAAAATATATCCTTGAGAGATAGCTGTCTATATCTCAATATAAACATAACGATAAAAGAAATAAAGTTTGCTATATCAGTTCACCGGTCATAATCAATGTAGGATCTGATACAAATGTCAATTACTCTAAGATGTTATATTACATCAGTGCCTTAAAATGAAGTAAACACCAATTGTATAAGAGAGTGAACGAAATGATAGTCATATAACTGTCAGTGCAACCAAAAATATTGAATAGTGTTTGCTAATTGTGAATGGATTAATGAAATAGAAAGTTCGACTTTATAGGAGAACCTAATATTTAGAGAAACATAAAGAATGGATACATCGGCACAATTGCTATCGATTTGGAGTTATCTTATAACGTATTCAACCACTGATAAATTTTATCACACTTATTTCAATCAGGACGTCTATTTCTACCTGCTTCGTCCTCTACTTGATTACGCCTAATACGGTCTATGGCTTCTGCACTCGAACGCCTAGAACCCGCTGTTGCAAGTCAAATAGATAGAAAAAGGTAAGAGAAGCGTTTATTCAGTAAGTGTACGAACTTTACATAGAAAAGGTGAATTCATAGTTTTCAGATTAAGTTATAACATAATTATAATCCAACTAATCTGCGATGATGAAGTTAATGTAACCATCCAATAATAAAATACCACGTTGATGTTCTAGACGCTCCTATCGAATTCAGTGTATGTAGAGTCTAATTAGCACCTATGAGTGTTACTGAAGGCTTCGTAGTGTTTTATGTATTTCTGGCAGCCGTCATAGCACTCTCTATATATCTTAAATGGATAACTCCATGGACCAACAACATGTACTGGTTAGGCACGTCTTAAGTTAATTTAAATCAACTCTAACACCGATCAGCACTGAAATTTAGTCTGGAGTTTACCAAATAAACGAAGGTTTTATTCAGTTTAAGTAATTACACTAATCAAAATTATTTTTAGAGATTTACTACTTGAAACAGTATGAAACAGACACGATATTATATTCGTTTAACTTATATTCAATCATCAGACCAGTTATTATATAAATATACATATATATAACGATGGAATATTCAGAATATGGAAACGTACTAAAAATCACACATTAATGCCTGATTATGTGGTACAAGCCTACTAGAAAACATCGATGGCAACTCTGACATAATAACAACAAAGGCGGAAATTCTATATATTTTGAATGCCCGACTGAGTCTTACGAATCCTAGAATGATGCTCTTGAACTACCATATTATAATTAACTGCTGTAGACGATCTTTTCAAGATTTCGTATTCTGAAAGATTTTCCAAGCAATATCTACTTAGAGCTACACAAGTATTCTTGATAAATGTATAATATACTAGAGACATTGAGTGACTTGCCAACCAATGAGGAAACGCGGCATAGTAACAAAACAATTAACAATAAAATAAAGGTGAAATAACAGCTTTGATCTTAATAATCGAGTTCAGTTAACAAGTTAAGATTAGGTATTGCAACACAAACTGACATTGACTAGAATACAATGGTTTCCCATCCTCCTGTTCATAAGCTTGAGAAACTTAAGGTTTAGATTTAGAGTAAGAGTTAGAAAGTTATTAAACACACTTGATTACTCAATGAATGACATCAAGTACTTCGGCACACAGTCGTTTTCGGGATCAAGAATGTCGCGCGATTCGGCCTAACCTTAAACTAAAATTCGCTTTTTGATTATCTAGTAGTTATTTACATTGATTTCAAACACCTCAGAAAATTAATATGACAAATTTTCACTTTGTTAATAATAACATACATGTTATCTATCAGTTCACTTATCCGCTTGATAAACTCAACGCCGTCGCTCCATTTTATCTTGACCTTGTTCTTTGAATGAACGAAAACTAAGCAGACCTATGAAAGTAAATATTCAATGACCATACACTGAATTCATATAAATTGAATTGGATAAGAATTACACTTTCAAAAGTAAGAAAATATCACAAATTTTCCAGGTAAGGAAGTCATAATTGGAGATGCTTGAGCATCATCACACAAAATGTCTTTGTCTAAGTGTCTCTTTAATTTACTAAAAAGCAGTGAATATCGTATACATGATTCATTCTGGATTGTGCCTCCTCGGCAATTCATAAAACATGCTTGTAGAAGTCTGATTTACCAAAACATTTTTCCAGAAAGTTTCCAAATAGATTAGTTTATTTTGTTTGTAATAACAAGTCTATCTCTATGCAGTTTTCAGACAAATATGGTTGTAAAAAATATTACCGTTTATTGTCAAATTGACGTGCTCATAGTTTTTGTAAAATATTAATATTTAATTATATCTATTTACTGAAACAAATATAAGTAGTACACCTGAAATCACGAAATTACCACGATTCACTATAAAACTCTCCTGATAAGAAAAAAGAAGAGTCAAGTATTTGTATAAAACATCCACTACTATAACGGTGACAACTTTTTTTGGAACACATTTACTACATAAACTTTGACTTTATCATCTTGACACTATCACTAGTTTCAAGATATTTAGGTAATATAAGCAGTTAGAACCGACTGATGTAACAATCCATTCCCTTTCATTGTCAAGTAATAATCCCAGAGTACCATGGTATAAAATCACTTAAACTAGTCAAAACGCTTTAAATATGATTGACAGGTTTCAGTCAGTGTTGCGATGAATTAGGTATCATAGTAACCCACTGATAATGTGGTTAGCTTTTTTTTCATTCCAGACAGTTATCACGTCTCACATATTTTTCATTATGATACTAAATTAATTGGATAATATTCGGAAATTCATTTTATCATTCGACCTCCTAGAAGGTAGCAAATTTGTTCTGAACACAATCAAGAGACCATAAAAAACATCGGTGACATTAAAAAGACCTGGTACAGTTCGGGTCCTCACACAGTGTAAGAATCAGATAATAGGTTTATGTTTAGTAAAATTCATAATTTAACCAAATGCTTTGAGTTTAAGATTCATTTTCATAGTTCCATAACCCACAAAATACATAAATCGTAACGGTGGTTATTTACCTCAATTAAAGGTGATGAAGATGAAATGTATGTATTAGTGATAATGCTCAATTCAATCAATAGAAACACATTCACACAATTCCGATTGAAATTATAATAAAATCATGACAAGTAATTGAATAAAACGGCCATTCCCAATATACACGGTAATTCCTAGTTGAAAAGCGCTATCAGAACAAACTCAAACATAAGATAGAATTTGTCAAATATTTCATGTCAGTTTCGGTCGACTTACGCTTTTAATCTCCATGATGAAGCAATATCTGTCAAAACAACTGTAAAATCACTGTCAATCACAAATAAGTAAATTATTAACTTGTAAAACTAAAGGGAAATATGGTCTATGGTCTTTTAAGTCAGTTCAATCTAAACAACATCAGATTCACCAAAAGGTAGTGAATCACAATTTTGAGTACTTTCGTCTTAGTATCAAACATCTTCGTTGGATAGGTGACTAGTTCATGAATACTGACCACAGTTGTTGTCCACTAAAAGTACATCAATACTCTCAATAATCACACTCTAAAGTATCCACTATAAATCAAATCAAGAGTGCAAAGTTGAAGTATGTTGTAATTATCACAAATAGTACCTGTCTATTGGTCATTTGAACACATCGATCGAGTTAGTTTGTGCCATTAATATCTAACTAATTTCGAAGTAATATCTATGGAAGTGATGTGACCAGTGTCTATCGAAAACAGTTCAACAGCTAATAACGATAATTTGATTCGATTTCTGCAATTCTAAGATCTATTCACAAAATCAATTTCATTGGGTCACAAAAACGTCTATAAAAAGATACCCTGATAGATTTACACATATAGTCTCACATTTCAATGTCATTCACATGAAATTTTGTTAAAACTTGAATAATTATTTTCATAAAAAATAGACAAAGCTTCTGTGTCTACTTCAATTTAGTAGATATTGTATATCAGGTAAATGTAGATGAACTGTTTATGTCTTTATATTTTTCATTTGAACAATAATTTTCATCGTCAACTGCTAATCAGAAACTTATCAGTTGTTCAAATAAACAACGATGAACAGGAAGCAAAATAGTATAATTAGGTCTTCCATCGTACATAATCTATGTAAGCTACTCAGCTATAATCTATTGGTTGAAATGTTCTTACATTAGTTAACTGTTGAAAAATCACGACCACCAATAAATATCACTAAAAGTTGCTGAGACTAGTTTTTCACCATCATCTCTACAAACACAAGATTAAATCATAATCAAACTATCATTGGTGATTAGCTTTGAGATAGGTATCAAGTCAAATTGATTTAATTAACTACTGAATAATCAGAGGCAGTTGTTTCAATTCACAAAGCGAGCTACATTTTGTTTTTGTTAAGTTTAGCTAACATATTCCTATTTATATTGAAGTTCTCATTATTGTGTTTGTTTGAATTATGGCATGTATTCACATTATGTTTACAAAGAATCTAGCTGTACAAAAGTTGGTTTAATGATATTTAGTTTCTGGTTTACTTCGTATCAATCATCTATGAGTTAAACTTTTAATTTTCTAATCATTGGAATATAAGTGGTTTATTTTTTTATCCAGAGATAGCATCATCATTAATATAATTTATAGACATTTAATTCACTCAAATAGCTTAGATCCCACCAGTAGACTAGTAAATTGCAATCAATGATTATAGCCCTGATGACGTCGTTTCACACTAGACTGTTTGGTATCGTCACCCATTTTACAACATGAAATTCAGTCACGGAATGTAACCTTGTAAAAAAAGACATTTTTTACATGACTCAAACTGAAATGAAATATACATTTTACATGCCGTCGAAAAACTCATAAGCAGTCTTCATTCAGTATTGTTTGGATAGTTCTATGTAGCTTACTGTTCTGTGACGTTCAATATGAGTTTTATAACAATTTTGATTGGCTTTGAAATACCACCAATGATTAATCATTTAAACATACTCATCGTTCACATTACATAGCAGTATTGTGACCTAAGGACTATATATTTCTGTCTCTAAGATTCTCACGTTTCACTTAATCGAAATTTTTACTTTCTAAACTACATTTTCTTGACAGAGGACACGCTATATATTTTCGAATTTTTTCTAATGAATGAATAGAATCGGTAACACGTCTATTTATGGTAGTATGAAAAGGAAATAAATACGAAATCTATCCGACATATGTTGATATTTGTTGGCGATGTTAGATCCCCAGAACTCACTTGATAAATGCCTTAATTTTATAATTTTATTTTGGAAATTTAAATTTCCTTGTTTTTACGCGAGAAGTTCACTTTTCACCTTTATGTCGTATTTAGATGAGCGTATGTGTGTGCGCACATTTCTCATCCTATTCATCACATGTTTGTCAATTATTTATGTCTGACTATAAATATTGATTATCGGTTGGTTAAATGAAGTTGGTCCACAAGCCTTCTCCACTGTGTGTTATTTCTCTTGGTTCTCTTCTCATTGCTTCTCCGATATTTTGTCTGGATCAAAGATTGTATGAAATATACGTATTCGAAATTCATTCTCGTATTTGACTTATTTAATTCTGTTATTGACTAACGCGATTTAAGGCACTCACCTACATTACATGAATAGTGTGATTATTGGTATTGATGATATTTACACAAGCATACGAATGAAGACTGTGTCTTGCGAGTTAGAGTTTATCGCAAACTCTGGTGAACGATTACCTTATTATAACTATTTTGCTGGAACTGTGTGATTATTAGCACTTTTGTTGTGAAACATTGAATACATGGAGTTTAGTTTCCCAAGATATGTAAAACATAATTAATACCACTCAGCTTCCTTCATTAGGTGTACAAATTATTGAATGCTTACTGCCATTTGTACTTCAGTTGTTATGTTAACACGTTGAACTAGATAAATATAACATCAATCAATCTACAATTGATAGAAGATCGAATTCGCTAGGGAGTATCAGTTCCCTCAAGATTATAGATACACATTGCTTACGAGCGCCAAACTGCTCGCAAACTAACTTCATAGTTTCCTGTTGACCACCTCCAACCAACACCTTACATCTTAGTGATGTTATGTGAAAATATCTCAGTGTAACAGGAATGAAGTGAATGAAGATTTGTTCGAGAAAAATAATTTATTACTAAACGGAAAATTACACAATGACTTAGTAAGACATGTACATTTTAATGGTGAGTGCCAAAAAACACAAAACCTAGATTTGTGATTTCCTACCACATAACGATAATAAGTGTATCATTACACCGGTAAAAATTTCAATTAGCGCTTACTATTAAAGCTTTTATTATCACCCTGACAGCGCTACACTGCGGATTGACGTATTATGATTGAGAGATATTTCTAATAAGAGTATTACCACGTCATACGAACCACCATTTTATGTACATTCTTTCATATGCATGATTTATGTGCTCTGATGATGAGCACCGAATAGTATAAAATTTAAGTTTACAAATTTCTACTAATTCCCTTCTACTATCTAACACCAAAACAGAGTGAGCGCAATACCGAAACACTAAGACAAGTGATCACACACTGCGACTACATCGATCGAATTTGGCAACCATTAAAAACTAGATAGACCTAATATTGATTGCAACAAATTGATTGCTCACATGAATCAATAAATTAATTCCTCATACTCTTCTTTTTGCATGAAGCAGAATGACTGTTATTTTTATATTTTGTATAAAGGCGTTCCATTAAATAGTATATTTAATTAAGTAATTCACTTTCTCAATTATTCAGACGATCATTCACAATCAACAAACATGTTTATAAGAAGATAAAAGTTAAATGAAACGCGATTGTATTTAAAACTTCAGAAGAAAATAAACAATTCACTATTCAAGAGACTGTGAAACACCAAACAAATACTTGATTTTGTCACTGTGTTAAACATCAATTTTACACAAACAGAAGTATACAAATTTAGTAAGTGAATATAGTGAATTTTTGAGTATCGTAGTGCTTTTTTTTCAGCAGAAAAAAGAATTCACTATTTATTTATGTAAACGTTAACTTAGCATACAGTAATAAAGGATTATCAATTCAGATTACTAGAACAATCGACAAGTCTTTGAATTCAACCAAAACAATCACTAATCCAACTGTGAATTTACTTCTTAAAAGAAACATTTTCCATCTGAAACATAAATACAAAAATAAATCTCATTTATTTTACACAAACGGATGCATGTGTCTATGAGGATATATTTGAGAATGCAATTTAAATAAGGTTGGCTTAAACCAGTGAATTTGCCATAAAATAATTTCTGTATCCTTTATACTTCATGAAAATATCAAACATACCATAGATATTGTTCATAAAGTTCTTTGGAACATGAGGTTGGTTTGGATAATATTAAAACCTTATTGTGAACATATATTATCTAACTTTTATTAATAGTTTTCTTTAGTTAGATCAAACCATATCACCAGTTAGAAACTATATTTTATTGTTATCGTGAATACAACTACACACTGCACAATGTAACTCTCTATTTTTATCGAGAAACTGGGTAAGCATAGTTGATAGAATTTGATTCATTATCCTATTCCTATGAAGTTTCGAGCAGAAGTTCTAGCCATCTTCAAAATGCAAAGAAACAGTTTTTGTAAATGTTTGTGTTTTATTTTTATCGGTATACTCATACAGTATTTCCGCAAGTACTACTAAGCAAAAACGATTAGTACAAGTGTGCCAGAACTTGCATACTGTAGTTTAATTTACAGTACACATAGACTTACATATTTATAAAATAGCAAATCTCTTCATTGCATCCAAAACCGTTTGAGTTCTTTTATGTGATGGCAAAACTAAAATAAATATGAAAGTAATTAGAATATGCAACTTACATTCGAGCAAACGAAACCTTAGAGTCTCAATCTCCTCAATCTTTTCAGCAAGTGTAGCTAAAAGAAATAATAATCAAACATTATAATAACAAAACACTGTAAACGTAATATACATACTTGATGAGTCCTTTTAGTTAGTCACATGTGAAATTCGTTAAGCTTTCACATAAATAAAGAGATTGACATGTGTTGGCATAATTGGTTAACATCGAATTATTCGAGTTTTGATTCATAAAATGATAGCAAGTAGCTAGAATATCTTATTAGCAGTCTAGTTATGACTTTTTGAATAGGTCTTTTCTGATAAACGTGAATAGAAGTTATTGATCCAATTGATCCATTCCGAAATCTAATAACGCTACGTTATTGTTACACCGTTCATTCTGGAAAAATAATTATCATTGATCAATATTTCAGAAATGTTTATACCTGTCAATAAATACAAAAATGGTTTACCCATCATTTTACAGCGTCCTCAATGGGTCATGTTTTGTAGTTAGTTTATTAGAGTTATTTCCAATTCCGATACAGATATACCAAATGTTGATAGGAAATGGTCTATAGTAAACCCTTAGACCTTGGTTCGCGTTATTTGGCACTCATCATCAAAATGTGCATGAAATTTTGAATGAACATGTGCTCCTTGCGAATTCAAACACACTTCGATTACCTGTACAGTCTGAGATATTACCACTAATCTCTTTGGACTGTTACTGACCTTCTATTAGACTGAAATACTTTTAATTAATTGGTCACTGAGTATTAGCCAATCTCATATTCATCTAGTCATTTTCAGTGCTGATCGAATCCTATTGACCAAGTGGATACAATCACCTGTCACTTGGATTAGCGTGTACATCAAAAACTAATCTTTTAAACTAGACTAACACTTAAATGTTTAAATAAACACGGTACTACTAATCATTCAACCAGTCAATTGTAAATTAAATATGAACGAATGAATAAGGTTACTTCAAATTAATTACATGTAATTTCACCATAAACCATAGAAGAATGACGAAACTTCTGTCGTAGTTCATCTTTTCTCAAAGGATCAGCTGAAATACAAATGGAATTTTTTAATTCAGAAATAAAAACTACACAAACTGTTTAATTTACACAGAACAATAAAAGAATGAATGAAATTAATACGCTATGCCAGTAATAAAATATCATGTAGAATTAGTGAATAAATAATTTGTCAACTATGAATTAACAATTAAGTAGCATATAATTTGCTCATTATCAAAAACAAACTATAGTGAAACGTTCAAACACTCTCACTGCATTCATGTACTACGTGTAGATGACTTTAAGGACAATATTCAAATGTTTCGTGATAACTACCAAAATCATATGCTTCTCGAAATACGGATGAAAGTGATCACTGTAGTGTTTATCGTAATCGTTGTCTAACACTAAAAAGACACCGAGAGAAAATTTTTACCTATCTCAATAAATTTAACTAGTCGTTTGACTATATATTACAGAAGGATTGTGATTGAAAGCACTTTATGACTACTATCTTTGAGTCGTATTTACTACATATCAGTTTCTTACCTGAATTTGTAATGTATTCGTTTGTAATTTCAGCTAACGGTTCAACGAGTGATCTTAGTTTCTCTGAGAAAATGAAATTCATTTAAAAAAGATCAGTTTTACCCTTATGTAGTAATTAATTATAAATCAATTCCAGTTTGTTATTAAGATTTTCGAATTGTTTTCACATTGCAGTCATAAAATAACTCTGCCTGGAGAACCCGCAGGGGTTACCGCCAGCCCCAAGCTCGGAAAGAGGAGGAGGGTTAAGCATGGGGTCAGCAACCCCATGCCGTAGAAAAACACCTCTCTAAAAAAACGCTAATCAGAAAAAATTGTTCAAACCCTTTTAAACTCTACCCTGGGAGTCTGAAGGTCTTCATTTAGGAGATTTATGACGCCTCATGGTGAAAGCCAAGTTCCTTCGGAAGTCATGAGGCCGATGTCCCTTCTGACAACCAGAGCAACCATTTATTTAGGTAAATGGGATGCTCGTACAATGTGTGAGACTAGGGAAATCTTCCAAATTGCTGCGGAAATTAGGAGATACAACCCGGAGGTGCTTGGGATCAGTGAAACACATTGGACGCAAGTTGGACAACAAAGAATAGCTTCAGGTGAGCTGTTATATTCCGACCATGAAGAAGAAAATGCCCCACATACACACGGAGTTGCATTGATGCTGTGTCCAAACAAGCACATAATGCACTTATACGATGGGAATTCCATGGACCAAGGTTCATCAAGGCCTCCTTCAAAACAAAGAAAGAGGGCATTACAATGAACGTCATGCATTACTATGCGCCTACCAACGACTACATTGAGGACGTTAAAGATCAATTCTACAATAGGCTGCAGTCAATCATCGAGAAGTGCCCAACAAAGGACCTGACCATTCTGATGGCAGATTTCAATGCCAAGGTTGGAATGAACAACACTGGATATGAAGACATCATGGGACGACACGGACTGGGAGAAAGGAAAAAAAATGGTGAGAGGTTCGCAAACCGATGTGCTTTCAATAAACTGGTCATAGGCGGCACCATATTTCCACATAAGTGCATTCGCAAAACCACATAGGCTTCACTGGACCACACTAAACAGAACCAAATCGACCATATCCGCATCAACAAAAAGTTCAGGAGGACGTCGGAGGATGTGAGAACCAGGAGAGGAGCTGATGTAGCATCAGATCATCACTTGCTGGTTGCCAAGATGAAACTGAAACTGAAACTGACGAAGCACCGAATAACGGGACAGACAAACGAAGAGAAGAGGGCGAAACAAAATAATACACAGTTGAGGTGTGTGAACCAACTCCATTTAGCCAAGCGTTAATCAGTCATACAAAAATAAGTGACAGACATATGCATCAGGGTTGATAAGTGAATAATTAACAAGTTCAAAACGTGACTCAAGCTAAATGAATAAGTTGACCTGTCCAGAAGCTAGAATAAGGTATATGGGCTTAACATAATAACCGACACCACAATCGATTTGATTATAATTAAATCATTATGAAATTCTGAATTTTCACTGTATATGACCTATGGGTTTTGCATGAATTATATGTGGTCGATTAACCACTGTATTCTCAAACACTGATTTTAATCAAATCTCTAATAATCTGATTGCCTTCACAAATTACTTGTGTTAAATAAACTCATTGCTATTTTGTCAAAATTGTAAGTCTGTTATTTAAGAGTAACAGTGATTTTAAAGTGCAGCGAAATTCAATGTAGGAGCATTCAACTGCGTTAACATAAAAATAAAATAATTAAGAAAACCTTTTGATTGAGATCATGAACCGATCAATGTCAAAACACCATTGAAAACCTGGAAGCACTGGATCGGTTCACTATGTCATTTAAAAAACTCAACAATCTCCACAACCCTATACTGATAATTATCATGTATTCACCAGTAACTAACTTCGAGAGGTAATTATCGGAATCCTAATGAGAAGTCGTAACCAGTAGAGATAATTCGTGTCAAGTATGAGGCAGTTACCCACCGAAAACAATATAAGGTGGTCGAGCAATATGGTGGATTGATTGAAGTTAGACATTAACACCGTTGGATGCCGGTTCACTGGTCTGCAGGTTAAGAGTTTCAGCGCGAGATTGGAGGTCCTGGGTTCGGAACCCGCATATGGGATCTTAGATGCACACTACTGAGGAGTCTCATACTAGGTTGAAACGGCCATTCAGTACTTCGAGGTTTTCAATGGTCGTCTAACATTGATCAATTCATGACCTCAATTAAAAACCTCAGACATATCCAAAACTCTATACTGACAAAACAATTTTGTCATCTGTGTGTATTCAAGTGTAACATTATAATAATAGTCTCCTACTACAAAAAACCTTTTAGACAGCACAAAATATTCTAAAATAAATTTTCTACTAATTAACTTACCATATAAACAAGGAATTTCACTTTCAATTTTAGCTATGCTCTTTTCTAACTCAGCATATTCTATAAATTCATTAATATTTACAATTAAGTAACATTTTCCCGTAAATCTCATCCAATACTTTGATCGATTTCATACATGAGACATTTTATCACTTCATATTCAACTTAATCAGCTTAAATTCAGTAAAACAGTGACAAATTAGTTAAAGAAGCAACTTGATGGTACTTTGGATTGACGAACATTCGTCAATAATAGAACGAATAGTCTGACAGAAATTGGGCGCCAAGTATAGGGCACTCAAACTTACACATGCACAAATACACACACACACAAAATCATTTATTTCTTTGTCTTCACATGGTGAATTTTTCACATTGATTCGCATATAACTGACATATCTTATCCTACTTACTAAAGTCACCATTTGAGTATGATTGGATAAATACAATAAAGATTTGATTTGATTGTTAAACAATATATATTTCTTTGATAATTTTGATTTTGCTTACAACCCTAAAGAAGTCCAGACAAGTTAGCTGGACAAAACGTTGGAATTATTTAAATTTCAATCACTGAGATTGTTCCAAATATAATTTTCACATATAATCAAGGATGTTTTCTATTCATTTCCACGTATATTATTACAGTATTATAAAACTTGTGTTAACTGATTAGATGATATTTCAGCTGTGCTTCTTGAATCAATTTCTAAAATCGTATTTATTTAAAAGACTAATGGTCATTGACTCGTGTATTATGTTCGGTGATCGAATTGTTATTCCGAAGTTATTAAGTCACAAGGTTCTCAAGCAGTTTCACAGTAGCCATCCAGAAATCAATAAAATGAAATCGTTGGCTCGTAGTTATGCTTATTGGCCGTCAATGGACAAAGATATCGAGAATAAATGCCGTAACTATCCATCATGCATTCAAGCCGCTAAAAATATTTTGAAATGCGAACATCAGTATTGGCCTACGCTTGCAAGAACCTGGGTAAGACTTCACGCAGAATTTGCTGATCCAATCCAAGGAAAAATGTTTCCAATTATCACAGATGTATTACTAAGTGGCCGGAAGTATCTACCATGCCTAATTGTACAACATCAGAAACAATCCACAAGTTGTCTACCCTGTTTAGCTGCTTCGGAGTACCAGAGACCATAGTAACCGATAACGCTCGCGATTCGTTGCAGAATCGTTTAAGCATTTCTGTATCGTGAATGGAATAACTCATCTTCGTTCTCCGCCCTATCATCCTCAATCGAACGGACAAGCAGAACGCTCTGTGGACACCTTTAAACGAGCATTACTGAAAGGGGGAGGCGAAGGGACAACCGGACGGGTAATCACAAATATTTAGCATCCTACAGAGCCGCTCCGAACACAAATGTTCCAGATGGTAAGTTCCCTGCCGAAGCCATGTTCGGAAGGCATATTCGAACCGTTTTCGACGCCATGTTGCCATCCAAATTAGTGGATGGGCACAGCCAAAATCCAAATATCTGGAGTTTCAATATTGACGACGAAGTTTTCATTAAATCCTAAATCGGGAAGAACCGATGGGAGCTGGGAAAAGTTGTACAAAAATTTGGAAGTGAGTTCTGTACAGAGTCTGAGGATCTCTTGGGACATGTATACGACATACGAATCAAATCCATAAGGACAAAAGAACGGTGCAGACTCGAAAAAACCGACCGAATTTTCCGTTAGAGTTAATCTTAGACACACCAACGCTACGTATGCCCAAGGACACTGAAAAGAAGCCTCGGACAAAGCAGACGACAAGAACAATGAGACGCCGCCGCAACCCGGTTGTCAAGCTACAAGTAGATCTTAGATAGAAATCTCACTCGGGGGAGTGTCGAGTCGGCTTTCCGAGAACTGCAACAGAGCCTCCAGAGGCCCTAGAGGAGCCGAAGAGTCCTAACCAATCAGAGCATGATGGAGCTTTCTCGAATGTCAAAGTGGCGTGGTACTATTCGTCAGTAGCATAATATGTCTTTTAGCGGATTGGCTAAAATATTATGTTGATTTAACAAATGTTAACATCTATAAATACCCGTTTTTCTACACAAAAATGAACCTTGGAGTAAATTACTTCTCCCATACTTTGAGTCTTCTCTCTCGTGTTCAGGTCGCTGTATAGTTCTAGCTTGGAGGTTACAGAATAGCTTAGCAGACGAATATAGCATTCAATCCGCAAGACTTATCAGTGTCGACGGGAAAACTACAATGAATATTTCTTTGGAGCAATTAGAAGCCTATATGGTGCGTCAAGAAAAGAGGTTTGAAGAGTCCCAAATCAAAATCATGGAAGCCCTGATGCTGTTTGAAGGTTCAAATATTATTCTTTTAATACGATAAGGATCTTTAGACGATCTTATTTATTTACTTTAAAAAGTCGAAAAGGTCAATTGAGAGTTAAAAACTACTGATCGGAACCTTCATAATCTTCATAGTCATGAGTCAGTGTAGATTTTGAAATTTATAAAGGATATCACATAATGATCTAGTAATTCCATACAATATTGGTTTTAGTTTCTGGAAAATATCTATGTTTATTCAAAAATACCAATTAAATTTACGTTCTTTTAATAATACAGTTAAGAACTCTAATTTTAGTTTTACTAGTAAAATACAATTTAGTTATGAAATTTTAATTACTTTCCATTATAATGATTTTTTGTTAGAACATTTTAGAAAATTAACATCGAAATCATATTCATTACTAACCAGTATCATTATGTAATCTTGTTTCTAAACTTTGAAAATAGGCTTCTGGATTTCGAACAACAAGAAAAAAAGAGCAATGGATTAGTGAAATCCGATTACCAACATTAAACATGCTTCAGCAAGAAATTTAATTGTCTATAATTTTTTTCATTTTCGTGAAAATAATTCCTACATAATCTCATTGTTTTTGATTCTTTATTTTAATCTTAGAATGTGAATAACGTAATGTTTCAAAAGACTTTGGCATTATCCAACTGAAAATACTCCACTGAAATGGTTTATAATTGGAAGCGGAACATATTTACAGCATATTTATCTACTCGTGGAATACTAATCAAATTATTAAATAAGTCGTTATATGTGAAAATTATATTTGAAATAATCTCAGTGATTGAAATTTCAGTAATTCCAACGTTCCGTCAGCTAACTTGTCTGGACTACTTCAGGGTAATAATCAAAATCATCAAAGAAATACATAGATTTTTAACAATCAAAACTATACTGTGTTAAACCAATCATATCACAATTACCCAAAAGAGTTTTTAAAGAAGATTGTTAAACATGAAACTAGAATGTATGCGAAAAGTTTGGAAGTACACCGTAGTCATCCCAAACCGTAGTGAAACATCGAAAGAAATCAAGCCGATTCTAAACAAACATGATATAAGAGTGTATTTTAGGGCAAGTGATACCTTAAGATGGACATTAGTGAAAGTTAAGGACAGGTTACCAAAGGAAGAGTAACAAAATATTGTGTATGAGATCGACTGTCATGATTGTAATGCAATTTATGTGGGGGAAACATCCAGACAATTGAATGTAAGGTTGAAGGAACACAAACAATGCTTGAAAAATGTTCCCAAATCCTCGGTTGACGTGAAGAAACTTGAGAATAAGTCTACGATAACGTTACATGCGTTAGAAACAGGACACAAGATTAATCTTGAAGGGACCAAAATACTTCAGAAAGGTTTTAACACCCATAAAGAAAGATTGACAGCAGAAGAGCTGTATATATGGGCGAACAAGAACAGCCTAAACCGAAAGGATGGTATTCAACTAGCAAATTTTTGTTGACAAGGAATTTGAACTTTCTCTTTATTCAACCAGTTTACTTCACATTCATCGTTATTTTGACTGAAATTAATGAGTTTTTAGCATTACAATTATGAATTTGTTGATTATTAAATTTGACATGCACATCTATGATTCATTAACAAATTTTCAACCTTAAACTTGCACCCTTCTGTCACTAATTAACATATGTGCGGTAGAAACTCACTGATGACAATGGTGGATGTGTCGCTCAATTTCGTGGATTAGTTGAAGTTAGAAACTAACACGGTTAGATGCCGGCTCAGTGGTCTAGTTGGTTAAGCGCCCAGCGCGAAGCTGATAGGTTCTGGGTTCGAGTCCCGCCGGGCGGGGTCGTGGATGCACACAGCTGAGAAGTCCCACAGTAGGATGAAACGGCCGTCCAGTGCTTCCAGGTTTTCCATGGTGGTCTGGCTTCAATTGACTCATGATCTCAACTGTTGAAATTACTACAATCTCCACAAAACCCCGTTTTCTATTTATTTATTCCTTCATATATAACATACTAACACTGAATATCAATAATTAATCTTACACATACATACACACCTACACACTCACACACAATTTGTTATTCACTTAATTATTTCCATGTAATTGAATTTTTCACGTGATTTACACTTAATTTACTTATTTTAGCCTATTTTACAAAACTCAACATCTATATATGATTGGTTTAACACAGTATAGTTTTGATTGTCAAAAGGTTATATATTTCGTTGATGATTTTGATTTTGATTATTACCCTGAAGTAGTCCAGACAAGTTAGCTGACGGAACGTTGGAATTACTTAAATTTCAATCACTGAGATTATTTCAAATATAATTTTCACATAGAATGACTTCTCTTTACTCGGCACCCAATACAAGTATTAATCTATAAAATCAAACAATCAGGAAATGAAATTTTTACTTAACAATGAAGATTCTTTTAATGTATAGTTTATTTTGTGAATTTGTGATTCGTATTGAGGGTATTGGTAGACGAACGCTCAAACTTCGGAACATCTTTTGTTTAAGAATTATGTCTTTTATAACGTTACTGCCTTCAGATGTCTAACAATGTGATATTAACCAAAACTATAAAAGAAATAATTATATTACCCTCGTCTTCATCAAGACGTTTTCTAGCCTCCCATTTTTCGACAATAGCTTCTTTGAACACTACGTATGCTGCAAATAATATGCGAAATAAACTTCAAGTTATTTTTCTTATTCTATATGATTAAAATTGTTTTTTAGATATTAAAAGTCAAAAGATAATATTTGACATTGCATAGACGAAAACATAGAATTTTATCATTACATTTGAGTCATACATCGACACTTAGTACCTAAATAGTTATCAACTTAAAACAAATTCAGATGAATTGACAATCATAAAAGGATTTCCAATTTATGATACAAAAAACACATTTCATGTTAAATTCAGTTTACATTAAATTGTACAACAGCGTCGATTGTTTTCCTTGTAAACATTACCAACTATGTACTGGTTGTTTAAATCTTCCCACTGATATTTAGGATTGCAATTGATCACTACCAGTACCGTTCATTTCAAACGCCATTGTGATACCCACTTAGCTACTGAGGTCAGATAGCCGTCAGCTTATACCATGGGGTGAAATTTAATTCGTGTCCCGGAGTGAACATCAACTCGTGGATGCAGATAAATTCAGCTGACGATTGATTGCTGATTGACCTGAGTCTCAGGCTTCTAAAATTCCTCTAGTGGTTTTGGAGTTTCCACTCTCTAAGATTTCCACATTTTTCCAATCAAATTAGTGTCCGCACCTGTCCACGTGTACTGATATAAGTGAGGAGATATCATGCCGTTTGACTGCTAACTGATGTTCATGTAGGCGCAGGTGAAGGGAGCGTCCGCTTTGTCCGATGTAGTGTTTTTCGCAGTTGGCACAATTTATTTTGTAGATGATGTTTGATTTGTTTTCCTTTGTTATTTCATCTTTTGGTTTGCATAGGATTGATTGTAGTGATTTTGTCGGTTTGTGTGCTACACCTATTCCGAAGGTTCTTAGCAGTCTTGTTGCGGTTTCTGTTATTCCTTGTATATATGGTAGGGTGATCCTTTTGTTGATTTTTGTGCTTGACTTGAGTTCTAATGCTGCGTGCGGTTGGTACCTTTGATGAAGCTGATTAGGTAGCCGTTCTTCTGAAATACATTCTTCAGATATTTCTCTTCATTTCTTCGTGCTGCCAGTGTGCTGCAGTGTGTTCAAGCCCTCTTGAACAGATTGTGTACGCAGTTGATTTTGTGAGCTCTTGAGTTGTTGCTATTGTAGTTGAGAATTTGATCTGTATGGGTCGGTTTCCTATATACTTAAGTCTCCAGTTTTCCTGTGTCGGTTCTGGTGATCAATATATCCAAGAATGCTAGTTTGTTGTTTGACTCCTGTTCCATGGTGAACTTGATGTCTTCGAAGACGTTGTTGATCAGTTTGTAAGTGTTTTCTAGTTCATTCTTTTTGACGATGACGAAAGTGTCGTCTACATAACGAATCCAAATTTTTGGTTTGATCACTGGTAATTTAGCGGCTTCTAGTCTTTGCATCACTGCCTCTGCGATCAATCCTGATATTGGTGATCCCATTAGTGTCCCTTTCGTTTGTTCGTAGATTTTGTTGTTGAGTTGAAAATATGTTGTAAGCCATAAATTGATGAGTTCCTGTAGACTTTGAATTTGAAGCTTCGTGTATTTAGTGAGGTTTGTGTCGTTGTTGAGCAGCAGGGATAGAGCTTCTTTTGCTAATTTTGGTTCAATTTAGGTGAATAGTGATGTTACGTCGAAGGATATCATCAGTTCGTCGTTGTTGAATTGGATGTCCTTAATTTGGTCCAGGAATTGTGTAGGGCATTTGATGGAGTGGTTGGATGAATCTACTAAATGTCTCAGTATTCTTAAAATTTCTTTTGACAAATTGTACGTTGGTGTTCCGGGGAGCGCTACAATTGAACGTAGTGGGATGTTTGGTTTGTGTATTTTGGGTCTGCCGTAGAATCGAGGGAGTACTGGTTCATTGGATTTCATTCTCCATTGTTCTTGTTTTGTTATTTCTCCTGCTTTGACTAGCTTGTTTAAGGTCTTTGAGATTTGGTTTTCTAATTTTTTGACGGGATTTGTATCCATCAGTTTATATGTGCTCTTCCAGTAGTTCTTCGGCTTTTTTGACGTATTCTTCTTTGTTCATGATTACTGTGGTGCGTCCTTTGTCCGCTAGTATTATGACAATATCCTTTCTATTTTTGAGTTATTTTAAGGCCTTTTGTTCTTGTGGAGTCAGTTGGTTGTTTTCCTTCACCTGTTGAGTTAGCGGTACTATAGTTAGCTCAGAATTAAACCTGTAGGAAATTGCTTCTTACACTTACTGTGATCATCAACATGATTCAATTGTAAATAGTATAATAAAAACAATTTAACTTAGCTTATTATAAGTTGTGCAACTTTCAAGTCGATGAAATACCGATCATGGAATTTCAAAAAGCTAACATTAGTTACCATAAATTTTGGAATTATGCATTTTTTCATAATCAGACGCCTTGGCATATTCATCTATCCTCAAAAACAAGACAGTGGAGTTACTTTATCATTTGAGTATATGAATGAACAATTGCATACATACAATTTCAAAACATGTTTAATACGATCAATTGGAAATATATAAAATTAACTATAACATTACTTCTTATTGCTTAACTAACAAATAAATCTTTTCATTCATGAATTTGAAAAGTAAATAACTGTTAGACTGAAGTACCAAATCAACTTGAGTTTCAATGAACACAAAAATGTAGCTTAGATACGCTTTTTCAAACATATGACTGAAAGCATGCTATCTGTAGTACAGCAAACCAAACACATTGCTGTTAACCGGTAAGATCATATTAACTAGTCGTTTACATTTGAATTTCCTTTAGTTTACATATAGATTTATCACACCTACTAAAAAATGAGTAGCTGATGAACATTAAATGACAAACGCGACTGATTCAAGTCACAGACAAAACCTTTCTAGATTAAAACAGATTTTTATGCATTTACACTAGTCACATAGTGAGATCATTCAAATGATTTCATCTTAGTATTTCGGTAGGAAATCTGATACACCATCTGTTGTACAGGTGACTTTACAAATCCTTTCTACTGTTTAAACAATTCAATCCAACATTACACCATCAAAACCTTTTTTGATAATGACATAATGATAAACAATTGTAAAAGGATGCATTTTGTAAATATGTTATATGTATATATGTAAATATATGATTTCAGATATATTGAAATAGTAAACAGTTTAAAATTAGTTACCAACTTCATAATCTTTGATATTACGTAAAATATTATAAAGTAACATACATTCATAATATTTTTTAACAACTTCATCTTCCGAACTTTTCGCTACAAATACAAATAAATTGAAAGTAAATATTATCAAAAACTAAATCAATCGGTATCCTATACAGTTTAATTTATTGATTGACAAGCAAGGATGTTTCACCGTGTGAAATAATTAGCCAGTAAGAATCCATATGGATTTGCGTTATTTTATGTAATTTTCAGCATCACATGAACTACTTATTAAAATATATGATGCATAACTCAAATAAAGAGAATAAAATTACTTGCAGTATTGTAGATAAGGTTGTGTTCGTTCTCTATAAGACGGGCTGCTTATCGATTTAAGTAGTTGGTTTCCATGTTCCAAATAATTAACTAAATGTCAAGTAATCTCATAAAACAGCTAAAATTGGTGTCTCATATATCGATTATGCTGATACAACATTGGAGGTTAATGGCAAAAACTAACTGTTTGGTACTAAGTTAAAGACGTAAGTCTATTTACAAAAGAGAGATTTTAATTTGTCTCACGTTTGGTTCAAAAAAGGCACTCTACATTACTATAGCAACTGAGAATCGTACTTTGGTGGAGTTTTGTTCTCTGAGCTTAATGGCTAGGTCGTGGAGTATGAGTCATTTCATTGTTTGTTGATTGTCCTAAGTGCCATGCTTCGAAAAACGCTCTGATGCTTTCAGTATTGCCCCTTTTCCAAGATTCCAACATTTTTCCAGTTGAATCAGGAATCAGATCAATGGGAGATACAATCAAAATGAGGAAGTAGACAATGAAAAATTAAAGGTGAACAATAACCAATCAAGATCGAGGTCGAAAGAACAAGCTGTAAGTCATATCTAGAGGAATTCGAATACTTTACTTCTACTTGAAATTTGTGCTGAAGAACAATGAAAACCCAACGACCAAGCCATTAAGTTCAGAGAACAAAACTCCACCTGAGTTATAAACATTTTCCACCATCTGAAAATCGTATGTTCATTTCTAATTCACTATCTTTCATGTTTCATTGAAACAGTATCTTGTTTTATTACCTGTTAGATATCTTATAATTTTCAAACTAAATTACTAAGCATCTAATGGTTGGAACCATCATATAGCATGAGTCTTTCTTCAACCAGTCAAAAAACCGTTTGTGACATGTACTTATTTAAATGCATAGACTATATCCACTTGCATAGAAGTGTATTAGCCCACTTCAAATAGTACAGATTTTCAAGCATCAAGCGTTCTGAAAGACAAAAATCAAACGGAATATAACACTTAGATTGTAGAATAAAAATTAAATTCAGTAACAAAAGCGTACACAAAAATAGTTTAAGTATACTTTCTATTCTATTTATAATTACTAGTAATTGTATTATGTCATCAATGAAGAGGGGAAACTGATAATTGTGTCGTAATCAGACATATCAATTGTATTATGTCATCAATGAAGAGGGGAAACTGATAATTGATTCGTAATCAGACATATCTTAGTCTTACACAGGACAGTCATAATAAATGATTGTATTTAATATCATTTTCAACATTTGTTAACCACTACTTAAAAGCTGTATGAATATTTTTTTAGAAATGCAAAATAATGAAATCGTAAATCTTGTCTATAAGTCATTCTTATTTTAAAGGGCTATCACACGAAGAAAACCGTCTGTGAACTAGTAGGTTCTGGGTTCGAATCTAGGACGAAACGGTCGTCCAATGCTTCCAGGTTTTCCAAGGTGGACTAACTTCAATTGACTCAACTATTTAAATTACTAAAATATCCACAAAAACCCTACTCTGATTATAATTAGTGAACTGTTGATGAACATATATTTTGCCAACAATAATACCTTCAATCAGAATCTCTATAATTAACAACCGTTTCGTTTATAAATAATATAGTAAATTGTATTAAGCTAATTCCTGAGACAATACTTCAATAGAAGTAGATATATTGATTATAATTCTTACCTTTTTCTACATCATACAGAGAAATCTGTTTAAAACGTAAACCCATCTGAAGTGTATTATCTTGAAAATAAAAATTCAAAAACAAATGTTGATTACCTTATTATATTAAAGTTAAATTTCAAACTTGCAATAAATACTTTTCTCAGTAATATCCCAATGAATAGAAAACTGTATTTTTAACGTGTTATGAATTAATGTAAGTAACAAAATATCAGATATACAGTCATTTTTTTATTCATTAGGATATCACAAGAGAACATATCTATTACATTATAGCTCTCAACGTCAGTCAGTACATTGAATACTGAAACAATATAAACCTGAATTCATTCGGATAATGAATAGTTATATGCAACTGTCTGCTATAGACTTGTCCAGTATGAAATAGCTTGACATACCAGATGAAAAACACAAGTAATCGTTATGATTTAAACTGAAATCTTTTTCTAACAACTACACTTCAATATGTAGTGTTTGTTCATTAAGTGAAGAGGGAAAATGATCAAAAGTACTAGCTACAACATATGAATACGTTATGTAAAAATACAAAACTCCTGATCTCTAAATTATGAAATCATACATTTCAAACGTTTTATTCTCTAAATTAATTTGTACAGATACAACTATTAACTGTTCAAACTATTGAAATAATATGAAAGTACATCGTATTTCATTCTTCTTTTTTTCTTGGTTTTCAACCATTCTACTCAGATGCTACAATTTTCATGTATGAAACATTTTATTTTACTTCTTGTGACAGAATTAACAATAATAAAACAAGATTAGTATTTCGTTTACTGAAAATATGATGTGAAGTATCAACAAATAAGCATAATTACTAGAAGTGTAGTGTTAGTCATATGTTTTAGCCCATAATATGTCTTATTCTAGTTTTCGGACATTTCATTCTATTCATTCTGCTTGAGTCATATTTTGACCTTGTCAATTATTCGCTTATTAGCCTTGACCGTTTTTATATGAGCGTATATGTGGGTACACTTCATGTCCCATGACTCATCACATATCTGTCGTTTATTTTGTCTGCCTATAAATATTGAGTAATGCCTAGCTTGAAATGGAGTTGGCTTCCCAGCCATCTTCCCTGTGCGTCATTTTGTTTGGCTCTGATTCATTCGCTCCATGTACGAAATATATGTATTGTCAAGTCAATTTTCGTTATTCGACTTATTTAATTCCGTTATTGGATAACGCGATCTAAGTCGACAATGATATACGAGAATAGGCGATAGCATACACTCATACAATCTGAATTGGAGTCAGATCACGGGCCGCCACAGAAGCTTTTCTAGATCTAATAACTATTAAAAGTATTGACGTACAGATACCGATTAAAACATAAAAGCATCCTTCTCCATATTTATCCATTCGAGATTCAATTCTTTCTATAAAATAATACAATACATCTCAAGTTTAGGTATAAAAAAGTAGTACCATAATTATACTTTAAATCATGCAGTAAATACTTAATTTGCAAAATATCAATCGATTATTTCAAACTTGGATGTTCCCTTAGCAAGTACCAGTCAATTGTCACAGATTTCTTTGTTTCTGTAGTTTCATACCAATTGCTTTCCGTTTCCATTCTTTCCTTCTCAATCTTCTACTGAAATATATTCGCTTGTATACTATCGTTATATGCTACTTATGTGAATATAGGTAACTCATACCACAGTATATGTGCAGCATTAATGATAAGTACTGTATTTTTTTTAAATTCATAATGCTAAATTAGAGTACTTGAGATCTGTAAAAGCAATATATACATAGATTGTGATTATCAGCAAGTGATTCAAATCAAAAGCTTATTCAACTTTGTAAGAACATAGATGGTTAAGAATTCTACATTTACATACAAAAACAAAAAATAAATACCAAAGTATTACATAAAATCAAGAAGTAAAATACAGGAAAAGATCGTAACAAAAAAAAACCTAGAAACAAAACGTTATTAAATTCACTTGGTGTTGTTTTACTTGTATCTTCCCATTGTTATTTAACACTGCAGTTGATCAGTATCTTGTTGGCGTATGTGCATCCTGTGATGATTGCATCGATATAGCCTTAATTCACAAGCTTTATAAACAAACATAGATAGTAGCTAGCAGTGGAATCCAGAATGCGCGTTTCACCCCATTGCACAAGCAGCCGGCTATCATGACTCAGTAGCTAAGAGGATAACGCGATGGCGTTTGACATGAACGGTACTGGGTTCGAGTTCCAGAGTGAACATCTACTCTGAGTTGCAGATACATCCAGTTATCGAGTCCCAGATAGAACGAAATGCACGTCCTGAATTCCATTACTAGCCACTATCCATCTTTACTTAAATAGTTATTAAAGTTTAAATTTTTCAAAAGAACAATCAGATTTTTTCTTAAATACTTTAGATCTGACTCTTTCTTACTTAAACGCTCAATCTATTTGTTATTTCAAGAAGAATTTATTAATATTCAAAAACTTGTACTTCATGGATCAATTAAAAATTGGTTAACAATCAGTATCAATTTCTTGACGTATAAAACGTATTGATATATTATGAATATATTCTAACTTACTTCTATCAATAATAGGTGATTCAGTAGTAGCTAAATATTATATGAAATAATTATATATAACAAACTTATTCATCAAATTATAAAAGAAATAAGTAAACATTTAATTTTAATGGATAAAGTACATTTGTTTGTGTATTGTATGAAATATAAATCCTACTTTTAATATATTTTGACTTACTCCGCATATAATAAGGTTCATCAGTGATAGCTAAACATAATGAGAAGTAAATTTATGTAACAGTACAATTCATTGAATAATATAAAACAAGTTTAATATAGTAGTGTACAACCAATAAACTAGTAATAAATAAAACTGATATATAATTGAAGATGTATAGTAGCTAGCAGTAAAAACCACGGCATACACTTCATAATATTGGGGACACGATATCTGGATGAACCAGCGTTTAGCATATCATACTTATTCAGAGATTCCGAACATATACCACTCGATACGAATGATATAGCAAAATCCTTATAGTTATTGAGTATTCATAAACAAATAATACTTGAAAATTAAAGAAACTAAGAAAAATGTATATCAATATTTCCACAGTGTAGCACTGAGTAATCATTTTCAAAGTGTTCCAATGAAAGTATCTTGATGAAATCAACAATGAATTACTAGATCTTTAAATACACTGTATTAGGGACAAACATTTTTACAAGTTACACAATTATTTCACACTTAACACTTTACAAACAAGAGCCCAAAATAATCACTAAGTCTGCGTATCTTATTTCGTGTTGTATCTAACACTAACCACATAAAGATAGCAGCCAATTGTATTGTTTGAAAACTAACGCAGATAAAATATTCCACATAGCATTTTTAATTGTGTAATATACAGAACACCTGCAATATATCGAATATATTCTGACTTACTTTCATCACTGATAGGTGACCCAATAATAGCTAAATATGATACGAAACAATTCTATGTAACTGAATCATTCATTAAATGATATGAAATGAGTGAATATATAATTTCAAAAGATAGTTTTGTACATAACAATCTGATTTTGGACTTATTTTTATCAACGATAGTTGACTCAGCGGCAGCTAAACAGTATGAGAAATAATTCCACATAACTGTACAATTCATTGAATCGTATAAAATGAGTTTATTGTATTGGTGTGTGTTATATCTAGATGCTTATATTCTTGATATACCACGTATAACTTGAGCACTAGAACGCTAGAACGATTCCAAGTCGCAATGAGAAGACAGAAGACTAGTGAAAGGAATGTTATTCCAGACGGTGTCGACAACAACCCTAGTCGAAAATACACTCACTTACATATTGATTGTACACACACTTTGATGATTAACAATTATGATGAAGTTACATATACGAAAAATACTCAGTTATAACAAATCGCATACTGAGCATAGTTCATGTCAATTGAATACACGAATATCATATATTATACAGAATAAAATATCATACGAGAAAACAAAACCGAATACTACACTGAATAATCATCACATTGAATCAGAAAGGAAGTAATGTTGAACAAAGCTCATAACTATTGAACCAATCGAATTTCGACTTTTCTTTCCATCTTATCAATATGAAATCAATCAATTTATAATGAATAAAACTGATATTTAAATACACTAAGATACATGTACATCAATATTTCCACAGTGTAGCACTGAGTAATCATTTTCAAAGTGTTCCAATGAAAGTATCTTGATGAAATCAACAATGAATTACTAGATCTTTAAATACACTGTATTAGGGACAAACATTTTTACAAGTTACACAATTATTTCACACTTAACACTTTACAAACAAGAGCCCAAAGTAAGCACTAAATCTACGTATCTTATTTCGTGTTGTATCTAACACTAACCACATAAAGATAGCAGCCAATTGTATTGTTTGAAAACTAACGCAGATAAAATATTCCACATAGCATTTTTAATTGTGTAATATACAGAACACCTGCAATATATCGAATATATTCTGACTTACTTTCATCACTGATAGGTGACCCAGTAGTAGCTAAATATGATACGAAACAATTCTATGTAACTGAATCATTCATTAAATGATATGAAATGAGTGAATATTTAATTTCAAAAGATAGTTTTGTACATAACAATCTGATTTTGGACTTATTTTTATCAACGATAGTTGACTCAGCGGCAGCTAAACAGTATGAGAAATAATTCCACATAACTGTACAATTCATTGAATCGTATAAAATGAGTTTATTGTATTGGTGTGTGTTATATCTAGATGCTTATATTCTTGATATACCACGTATAACTTGAGCACTAGAACGCTAGAACCCTTCCAAGTCGCAATGAGAAGACAGAAGACTAGTGAAAGGAATGTTATTCCAGACGGTGTCGACAACAACCCTAGTCGAAAATACACTCACTTACATATTGATTTTACACACACTTTGATGATTAATAATTACGATGAAGTCATATATATGAAAAATACTCAGTTA